GTGGAGAGATGGTAACAGGTTTTGAAAGGAATACTAAGAGGAACATTTTTGGAAACCTCTGTACTACTGTCTTGAGGACTGATACCTTAGTACAAACAGAACAGTGATCTCAGTGGACGCATCTGTGTGGCCCTTGATGTTTCTGAAGCCCACACTGCTGGGACTCCAGGGCTCGCAGTGCCTTTGGATTTTGGGAACTGTGTGACCTTGGGCTCACCTGTAAGATAGCGTGCAGTCTGCTTCCAACTCACCTGGACCTTACCACCTTTGTCCCTGCCACTGCTCATCCACCTGCTCACCAAGCACAGAAACTCACCTTCTTCGCCCCTGCAAAGCAGAAGCTCTAGATGGAATGAGCAGTCACAGGGAGACTCACTCTGTCCTCAAGAGCTGGGATCTCTCACAGTAGGTACTTCATTTCTGCATGTGAAAATTACCCTTCCAAATTCTGTCTTCTGGTACTTGTCCTTCAGGAGATGAACATCCATCACAATGCTGTAGAGGACTGTCATTACTGATCTTTGGCATGGGGAGATACACTATAAGCATGCAAATTCATCACGCACAACATGCTTCTCTATCTCACAATCACTAAAATCACCTTCTATACACAGGGGTCTTCAGTGTTACTCCATACTTTTACCACCTTCAGAGGCCATTATCAGAAAATGGTCCTAATACGAATGTTTCTAGATCCTGCATGACAGCAAAGCTTGCTCTGATGGTCCCGCTCACAATGCAGTGTTGTCACATGGAACTTAGAGCCTTTTGCAACAGGTCTTTCTGCTGTTTCATCACAAGCCACCTGTCACATAAATGTAGGTTATACAGATCTAGGATTGCTCTATGGGAAGCCATTGGGAAAAAGGTGAGTTAAGTTGTGAAACCTATGCCTGCTGCACAGGAATAAAAGGACCAGAAGAAGGTGCTACTTGCTCAGGACCTGCTGATCAGCTATACCTGGATGTCAGAGGTGGCACTGTCCAGTGGTGATTAATCTGTTCCTTGGACAGCCATTGGCAGGGTTTTCACTACCACCCTAGACTTCAGCCCTCATGGGATGCAGCACATGCACTGACTAGGAAATCTTCTCTTGGGCTGTGGAAAAAATGTGTAAGGCTAATGTCCTCAGCAGGGCTTGGGAGCATTGAGATCCTTGAGGTTGTCTCCAGGCTTAATGCTTTGGTCTGTCTTTGAGTGGACAGCAGACCTTTCCTTTGTGACCTTAGGCTTCAAAAAGCCCTTGAAGGTAATGGCCTGGTTTACCAGCTCAAGTATCCATATAGATATGAGTTTTTTCTGCACCTCATGTTGACCTCTCTGTACCCCAGGCATGGTGTTAGGAGGGTCACTCCTAATATAAGAGGCTGCTCCACAGCCCATTGCAAAACAGTGCTTAAAGCAGGACATGAAGAACAGAAGAAACAACATTGAAAGATGATCGATTCGGGTTATGTGACAATGCTATGGCTGAGTATGCCTCATCTCTCCATCTGCATGGTATCTACATGCAGCCCTGACTTCAACACTAGAACAAGTAAAAGAGGCAGTCAATTTAACTGAATATCCAAAGGACCTACATACTAGTATTACTTCCAGTTTAATTCCTTCCTGGCCATGCTGCTGATAACACAGGCACAAAAGTACAGTGGGAGATATCCTTCTGAAAAAGACATACAAAGGACAGTCATGGTATTTCCTTCTTTATGTCAAGGCGCAAACTTCAAAAAGCACCTGTTAGAAGATGGAAATCCTGCTGACTTGTTTTACAGCCCACTCTGTTACGCATGGTGAGCTGCTGCCCCTTTCATCATTAGCTCATAAATGGAAATAACATTTTAAACATCAACCTTATACCAACCAGAGAAAAGCACAAATCAGATTTCCTATCACCTGCTGTTTCTCTAGGTGAGTTTTGAAATAAAACCATCAGAAAATAACTTAATCATGCAACAAATCATTATATGAGAGACTCAGACATATACTTTTCTAATGGATAGAAAATAGAGATACAACATAAAAACACATTTGAAGTGCATCACTGTCAAAAGAAGACAAAGTGAACTTAAATTTCAGTACAGCCTTGTTCTTTTTTTTTTCTAGCAAATTCAGTAGAATGACAAATTGGAGATTTTAGTTGAATTTCTTTTTTTAAAAAAAAGGATGCTACATGCAAGGCATTAGCTCTATGTCTTATTGACTTTTGACTTATGACTTTTGCACAGCATGCTCCTACATAATATCTATTGAGCACATGCTGCTGCTCTGTAGATAATGTCAAAGCATCACATTGTCAAATGTCAAAGCAGGACATTTTGGTTTTTGGATAGGTGCTTGGTAGACAAGCTTTTGACATCCCCAAGGCAAGATGAGGCAGATTGGCATTGTGGAAATAAAGCACATTAGTTGAATGTTCCTGCTAAAGCTACAAAGAAAGATATTTCAGCAGGCCCCTCTCAGTTCTAAGGCGTTCCGATGAAAGGATTTGTTCTCATATCTTCTGTTCCAGGGAGAAACATAAACCTGCATCTTCTTTTCTTTGTGACCCATAAGAGTAAGACCTAGACATAAACTAATCTGTAGTTTCCAGTCCAGAACTCTGTGCTAAGGGATGAAATCTCTTGCTGAAGAAGCAAAGATCTTAATGCAGAAGCTGCTCCTTCTTCTCCCTACAGGGACAGGTATCTCTACAACTAGCAACACCAACCCCAATGCACTTCAGTTCACAGACCTCAGAGATAAGCCTTTCATGATTTCATGATAGTCAACAAACTCATTCCTGATTACCACTTGAACTAGATAGTAATTCATTCATACTGCTTTTTTCAACATGAGTTTGAATTTTAAACATATTATATTGCATAAGGAGAATCTTAAACATAGTTGTTGGCTAAAGTTTAATGTCACTAGGTAAGTGAAAACTCATTTGAAGTCTAGTGGTGGTGTTAAGCCATGGGGAGTAGAGTGCTGAGCTTTTTGCTCCATTACAGCCATGCACAAGAGGTCACGCAGTGCTCTCACGAACTGTCAGCCCCCAAAGGACACTAATAGGCCTTAATGGCCTTGACCAGCCTCACCCATGATCTCCAGGCCCACCCCAACCATAGGCTCAGGACCCCCATTGCAGCCCAGCCCTGGGCACTGGGGCCCTGCCTGAGCTATACTGATATTGGCTTGAACCACAAATGTGGAAGAAATATGGCTGTCAATTCCTCATCTGTTTCCTTTCCAAAAAGGTATCTGAAAATAGAGAAACCAGTCATATTTTCTTGATTGCACTTTCATTGTCAGATATAAAGTTTTTTTTCACCCTTTCTAATTCACAGGAAGTAAATCAGTATTTCAAAATAGAAACAGCGTAGTGACATTATGGCAGCTTTCAGAAATGAAAGCTTAGGAATAATATTTAATGAAGCTTTAATGCCTACTACCCCAGCACTTTATTTCAAAACCATGCAGAGTCTCTGTCATCCAGAGTATCTGTGTACATAGTGTGTGTAAGTATGCATAATTAAATTATACCACTTGTCAATTGCCATACAACTTCATCCTGTTAATGAACACTGAAGAGAAATCTTCAGTTGCACTAATGGAAAAAGGCAGCTCCCCCTGAGTGTACTTCAAGCCATCTTATTTTAAATGTTGGATTTTACTTGAATATCTATCTGCCTTACAGAGGGGATGAACTGCACTCATACAAATGCTTGTTTTTTCCCACTGCCTAGGCAGGAGTCAGAGAAACTAGTCCAGACAGAGACATAGCCATACGTCTACACTTGGACAAATGAATCTCATTCCAGTCACAAACAAACAAGCAAAAAAAACAGACTAAAACAACTGACATACAGTTTAGATCTCTGAAGTCTCTCTGCACTTCTTTAGAGTCTTACAGGTCTTGGCACAAATTCTATTAGCAGCAATTTAAAATTCATTGGTAGATTATTCATGTAAAGGCTGACTAGTATTGGGTCTGCTGCTGACCCCAGCAGCAATCCCTTAGAGACACCAGCTTTCTGTGATGATTTCCAACTGACAACCATCTAACAGTTTTTTTTGTTGTTTGTTTGTTTGTTTTCTTTTTCTTATGTGTAATTCATATTATATCTAATGGTACTGGGAGCCAGTATTTTACTTCAGGTGTTATGCAGCTGTGAATATTGCATAGCTACATAGGGTAAATGTAAGGATAAACTTGTACTTTCCTCAAAGAAAGAAATCAGGCATGTTTGACAAAACACTGTCCACAAACGACCACAGACTACATCAGATTCAGCGCCTCACAGTCTCACAGCGAGCATCTTCTAGCTCAGCCTGCCCTCAACAGAGGCTCCTCCAAACTGCATCTCCCCCTGCTCCCCGTTTACTCCAGCCAACCCGCCCTGAAATCCCTGTCCTCATACCCTGATATCCATGATTGTATCACATGGCGCCGTATCATCCCCAACCCCTTGGCTTTTTCCCATAATCCCTCCATCTCCTTTTCTCTCTCATTTCCTTGACCCACAACTTTGTGGCATGTTATACAATGATGTTCTTTTAGTTCAGCAGGAGACTAAAAGAAGTGTTCCCTAAGTGGATCCAAACTACTTTTCCCTACCTTCTGTATATGGAGAAAAAAATGGTGGCATAAATACTTTTTGCTTTCCTTGATATTTCAGGTCCTTCAAATTCTTCCCCTCTATTTGTGCTGGCTGTTCCTAACAGAAAACCCTTGGGTACAGCAATTTGCATAATTTCCCTTTTTTCTGGTCCTTGATACTACAGACAGAGTGGATGGAGCAGCAGTGAGATCATGGTTACCCTGACCTGTGCAAAGATACTGCCATTGGAACAACCATCTGATATTTGTCTGTGGATTAAGGGTTTTAAACAGGTCTCATTAAGCCACAGTAGGAAATCCATCCTGACTGGAAAAATTTTGAGTGATACCTGTTTGCATCTGTAAACTACACGTTACACTCAGGCTCAGTGTAAATAGATGAGTGGATAGCGTTGCTCACCATAGATTTTCTGAATTCCTTGGAGGTCATCCTGGGGCAGTTTGAAGTTGTGTGTTTCCATGTACTGGTAGAAAGGAGCCATGATAGCGCTGGGATCATTGGAGTGTTCCAGACCCAGTGCATGTCCCAGCTCATGGACTGCAACCAGGAAGAGATCGTTCCCTGTGGAAGGAAGGCACACCTGGTTTAGTATGCAGCCACAGCTCAACACAATCCCAAGCCCTGCTTGCTCATCACATAAGAAGCGACTGCTTTTCTATCCTACTGCACAGCAGGTCACAGTGTCAGTGTCAGCTCCTGGAGATGGCTTCAGTCCTGAAAGCCTGTGTGGCTTTAACATTCATCATCACAGAATGGGCAGGAGACTCCTAACCAATGGCCACATGGAGCACCTTCAGAGCAGTTGAAACAGGCAGCTGCCTGGAGTGTATGGATATTGGCTGTAGACTCTCTTGTAGAGTTTACAGAAAATGGCCAATAAAATCGGCAGCTCAGATACCATGGCTTCCTTATCCCAGTGCTGCCAGGAAAGGTGAGAGCGCTGCCAGTCTGCTAATCAGCAAAGGCATAGGACAGGAGGGGAGCCTGGCACCCCTTCTGGGTCCTCCCGTGCCGTCCTCTGATCTGATCTGGACCACCAAATCCTGATGGACATCTGTAATGCACCAGCCAGGCTGATGAAGGGAGGAGGCAGGACACAGAAGACTAGAGCTAACACTCACCACCACATACTTGTGGTACAAGGGACAGCCCCATCTCCTCTAGCACAGGCTTCTCTCAGTGTGCTTTGCTTTGCTAAACTCCTGGCACTGCCATGTCAGCAGCAGCAGGTGAGCACTGGCAGAGCCACACAGGAAAATGCTGGTGACACTCAGTTGAATCTCAAAGGCAGGAGAGAGAAGGATGGAGAAGAGAAGGAACATGTTCCTGACAGGAAAAGAAAAGGTGGAGGAGCCCTATCTGGTAGAAGGGTGAATTTGGGGTACCTTAAGCTCTCTGTTACAGACATACACTCCTCTTCAGCCCCATGGATATGGGCCACCCATCTCCTTGATCTAGAGTGGTCCCTGGATGTCCTGAGGGCATCTTGACATGGGAGGTGACACAAGCAATGTCTGTGTGAGGTGGTGAAGACACAGCCGACAATAAGAGCTTCCCTGTCAATAAAATGCCTGAGCCTTTCCCCCTGCCTGAATTGTTGAATTGGCCTTCTCTGTTGTTTTTTTTATTTGTTTGTTTATTTGTTTTTGCAAGGCACAGACCAAGAGCATTGGCAATCAGACACAGGAAAACACAGTTGGTGGTGGCAGCTCTGTGGCTGCTTTGCAGCATCTCCAAACTGCACATCTCCATTTCATGCATCTTCAAACCACACCTATCTTAGAGCAGCAAAAAGCTTCAGATTTGTGTGCATGGCTGAGGTGTCCCTGAGACAGGAGTTTTCCCAATTTCCCCAGACAGGAGTGTAGAACAGTGATTAGTGTAGAACTATCTCCACTTTTTAAATGCTTTTTGCTCCATGTAATCCAAGAAAATCTGATAACATTGAATCAGGGGCCTGCGAATCTTCACAGCAGGGTACTTTACCAGCATCTCAAGACATCTTACCAAAAGTAAGTATCAAATAATGTTTATCTGGTTATATATATCACACGAAAATGGTTAAATCATCAGAACATTTGAGTTGGAGGGAATATGCATTTGCCATGTTAAAATACATGTTTCAAATAAATGTTCAAATACAAACATACAAAGAAATAGGGGGGCTAAAATCTAGCCATATAAGTATTTAAAATACCAGACTTTCTGTATTCTAAAAATCCAAATGGGGACTTACTTTTTGTAATCCATTGCTGGAAAATTTGATGTGTGCAGAACAAGTCAATAAAATGTTCAACACCTTAGTTATAAAATTCATTAAGTAGTTTCACAGTAAAGTTTGGAGGACTGATCATTCTTCATGAGTTTTCAAAAATATTCAAGTTTAGAAGATGTACCCAATGTTCAAAAGTGATTAAATGACTCAAGGTCCTATTGACAATAAAAGGACTTAGCTACCTGTATCACTTAAATGCTTGTGAAAACATAATTTTCATTGCCACAACTATTCACAAATGGGATTCCAACTAAAGGTCACTCAGCAGAGAGCTGACTTTAATAAGAGGGCTGTGTGCATGCTAAGTGCTTAGACACTCTCCTCATCAAAATGGTGGCATTCTATCTCTTGTTGAAGTATCTAAAGAGTCTTTGTAGTGACAGCACATCTAGAATTTACCTCACTGTAAGTCTGCATACAAATCTACGTAAGTCCCTTGCTGCTTTATCAAGAGCATAATATCTGATACTATTTAAATTCAGTTTTATTAGCCTTCATTTACTTGTTTCTGCCCAAAACAAATACCAGCCCACTCCACAGTTGGAAAACAGAACTGCACAGACTCACAGAATGGTCAAGGTTGGAAAGAACCTCTGAAGATTGTCTAGTCCAACCTCCCTACTCAAGCAGGGTCAAGTAAAGAAGGTCATCCAGGTCATCAGCGTTTGGTGTATCAACCACCCCTCAAAACTGTACATTATCTGCAAACTTGCAGAAGTCCTCTTTATCATTGTGAAAGGTAGGAAATTTCACAGCATGAAAGAAAACATACTGCTCATTGTCCTTTTCAAAAGTGGGCTATGATCTACTTTAAAAATAAGGCATCAAGTTTTAAAATTGTTGCCTGATGGTGGTCCTATCTCCACCCTTAGGTTGGACTTGAAATGTCTCATTGTGCACTGTTACCCATTACTGTGCGGAAATCTAGCTGATCTGCAGCAGCCTTCAAAGAAGCCTGGACTTCTCAGATTGTTTGTCAGTTCTTGAATACGCAGTAAGGTCTCTGACTATGTTCTGCACAGCTTTTGTCTGAATAGTACTCTTCTATTAATGTCCATTTTTTTTTGAGCAAAACTCAGGAGGGAGGACCATTAGACTAGCTTGATACTCGTCTGTTCATACAGAAAGATCAGGCAATCAGATAAAGCTCCTTAATTTCCTGTTCAGTCCCTGTCTCCCCAAGCCAACAAGAACAAACTAAACTTGTATTCAGTATACACCAGCCACCTGTGTCATAAAGCAGGGTGAAGAAGGAACTGGCTACCCTTAATTTGTATTTGCAGTGAAAGCTTTCCAGAGAAATAAAACATTTTTTGCTAATTTGTACCATAAAATCTGCTTGGTCAGAGACCAAGCATCATCTCCTTCCCGATTCTCACAAGGCATCCCAAAGTTCACTAAAAATTACCAGGTAGAGGATAAGCCCCCAAGACTAAGGGCATTTTTGTAAGTTAGCTCACTGAGTGAAATAGTTAGATTTGCTACGCTAAAACATAAATAAACACAGTTAAATTAGCTTTAAAGCTGGTGCATGTTCCTTACAAAAACTATGCTATCACCAGATAAAGTTATATCTGACAGCTCACCTGCAACAATATAAAATCATTGCTCATTATCATCATGCCAAAAGAGGTTAAGAATTATGTTTGGTTTAACAATTCTATTACTTTCCATGAAAAACCAGACACCAGAAAAAGAATACACACAACTTTAGAAGTAAATTTAAGTTGAATTTTCCTAACTAGAAGATATCTATATATATGTTTAGAATAACCCCCTCTTAGCAGACTGATTTAAGATAAATTGCAATATAGAGACATATCAAAAGCAGTTCTCTGGTTAAGCAATCTCCAGTTGTTTATAAGATACTGCCCTTTCCTAAAGAGATGAGAAACCCATGGTTTTGTTGCAACAACACAAAAAACACTACAGACACAAATAAACAGATTTATGAATGATCTTCCTTCTAGACGTGTACTCCACCACTCATTCTTCTTTTATTTGCATCTTCAGCTGGAGAAACAGCTATTAAATCAGGCAAGAAACATTCTGGGAAAGGTTTTCATGAAACTGCTAGCACGTGCCTTCTTTTATAGTTTTATTCATTTTAACTACCAACATTCATGCAATGCATTTCTTAGGCAAATGTTTTTATATACTAGGGTGTTCAAGTTCTGTAAGTCAGCAAAAACCATTTATTTAAATGCCTATCAGTTTACAATAACAGTTCCCAGGGCTACTATTATGGAAATTGTTATATTACTATCAGTATTTACCACTGAACATGATAGCTGTACACATAGCTGTAATGAGCGTAGGTAGACTCTGTAGAGCACCTAGCACAATGAAGTGTAACTCCAGAGCTTGTAAGACAGCAGAAGTACAATTTAGTAATACTGTACATCTGATTAAGAATACCAGAGCAACTGTGAATCTCTGATCTTTATCTTGTTAGTTTTATATTTTATCAACTGCATCATCATGCTAACCCTGATCTACTTACTGCAGTTTACTCAGACAATTAATAGACATACAAAGGTTATATTTTGGAATTTTATTGAAGTATAAACAATACCGAAGAAGTCAAATCATTGGTTGTGACAATACCATGCATACCGTAATTACAGAAAAGATGGCATGAACTTAACATGCTTTTAAAATAAATTTCAAGTCCAGCAACTGTTTTCCAAGCACAACTTAAAGAAGCTTTAGGGCTACTCTAAGCTATGCTTTGGTACTTCCATCTACAGACCTGACCTGTTAGGTCTGAACTGTCAAACAGAAGAACATGCAATCTGTCTTGTGCTCCTCCATTCACCTCCACAACATGCTCTGCTTGAGAAAAGCTTTCAGTCTTGCACATAAAGACCCTGAAGAAGTGGTGATATTGCTCTACCATTTGATTGTATCAAGCAAGGGATGTGAAAAACAGCTCTTCAATCTGCAAAGGAAAAAAAATGCACTTTAAAAAGAAAAATAAGCTTCATTTTGTTAATAAACTCTGACAGTTGTAAATTTAGCGATGAGTATGATACATCTTAAGGATTTAATGAAAACTTTTAAGACAGCTTAATTGGAGAAAGAATAGAGAGTGATATACAATGTTGAAAGAAATTGCACAACATGTATGTATGTATGCATATGTAACAAACTTAACTAATTCATATTGCTAAGAGAGATGTCCCCTATAAGGGCAATTTGACTCTTAACTTTTCTTGTCTACAGTGCAAACACATTGAGCAGCTGCAGTACTAACTCATACAAGATCTGAGATGCTCTCCTTTATCATAGTTTCCTCAAAGTCCTTCATCCATTTACTCCAGTCCTACATCCAAATTGTTCATGAAAGCACTGAAAAGAACTGGCTGTAAAATGGAGCCTTGGGGGACCCCACTGTGACTGGCTGCCAGGCTGATGTAACCCCATTTACCACAACCCTTCGAGCCTTACCTGTCAGCCAAGTGCTCACCCATCGCATGGTGTTTTTATCTAGCTGTATGCTGGACATTTTGTCCAGTAGGATCCTATGAGAAACTGTATCAAAAGCTTTTTGGATTTCAGTAAAGATTACATCAACTGGCTTCCCTTGATCAACAAGATGGGTGGTCTTATCTTAAAAGTAAATCAAATTTGTTAAACAGGACCTACCCCTCATGAACCTATGTTGGCTGGGACCTATGACTGCACTGTCCCCCAGGTGCGTTTCAGTAACACCCAGAATAATCTTCTCTATAATTTTACCAGGCACTGATGTGAGACTGATAGGTCTGTAGTTACCAGGGTCTTCTTTCTTGCCCTTCTTGAAAATTGTCACGTTTGCCAGCTTCCAGTCAACTGGGACCCCTCCAGATTCCCAAGACCGTTGAAAAATAATTGAGAGGTGCCACGATGATGTCAGCCATCTCTTTGAGCACCCTGCAGTGAATCTCATCTGGACCCATGGACTTGTATGGATCCAGGTGGAGCAGCAAATCCCACACATGTTCAGGGTTGGCTGGGAGTTTGTCATTCCCACCATCACAGCCCTCCAGCTCAGGACACCCTGGGTCCTGAAGCCCATCATCGGCATTGAAGACAGAGGCAAAGAAGGCATTAAACATCTCTGCTTTGCCTATGTCCTTATTTGTAAGGTGACCGTCCCCATCAAGTAGTGGACCTATGTTTTCTCTGTTCTTCCTTTTTTTGTTCACATATTTAAAAAATTCCTTTTTGCTGTCTCCCACAGACCTGGCCAGCTTCAACTCTAACTGGGCTTTGGCCACACAAATTTTCTCCCTACAAAGGCGAACAATGCCCCTGTAGTCCTTCCATGTTTCCTGACCCTGCTTCTAACAGCCATACACTTTCTTTTTGTACCTAAGCTCCAGAAGAAGACTCCGGTCAGATAAAGTGGCCTTCTACCCTGCCTGCTTGACTTCTGATATTTCGGAATTACCTGATCCTGTGCTTTTAGGAGGCAGTGCTTAAAGACTGACCAGCACTGATGGACACTAATGCATTCAAATGCAGTTTCCCAAGGGACCTTACTAACTAATTTCCTGAGCAGCCTGAAGTCTGCTCTCCCCATATCCAGAGCTCAAGTTTTGGTGGCAGTTTTCCTTCTGTCACCAAAAATTTTAAACTCATCCACTTCATGGTCACAATGACCAAGACAGCCACCAATTGCCACTACCCCCTCTCTGTTCTCAAGAGAGGGATCTAGAAGGGCACCTTCCCCACTTGGCTCCTTTAGAACCTGCACCAAGAAGCTATCATCGATAAGCTTTAAGAACCTCCTGGACCTGCTTGTGTCAGCTGTGTTATATTCCTAGTTAACATCTGGCATATTATTTATCTCCTCATTCAGTGGAATGCAGCAAGTTTACTACAGATACTACTGTGTTTTGGCTTGCTTCACATCATCTGTTTTCACTGGATCAGAAGACACAAAGGTTTTATCTCACCTTGATTCTCATGTTCTGCCTCTTTCTTTTTTTTTTTCTTTTTATGGGAATGACATCATTCTGATCCCTACTGGCTCCTTCCTACAAATCTCAGATTATATGATTCTCTGTGGAATGAAGTAAAATATTTTACTTTTGTTATACAGAAATCAATAGGATTCCCAATACCTACAGAGCTATATTTATACTCTACGTATCCAACAACTATTGACAAAAGCAATGGGTACTAATTATCTTGTCACAGAACACTGTGAACATAAGGTGTATTTAAAAGTACATTGCTTTGAAAGTAGAACTTGCAGATGATCCTTATTCAAGATTTTTAGTCGTGATCAACAACTATCACTGTCAACATAGCAAAGCTTCAAAATCCAGACTGCACTAGCACAGCACTACCATAATGCCACTTCTATCTTTGTATAAATGACAGCATATAACACAAAATAAAGCACTACTTACAGAGATGCTGTCCAGTACGAAGAAGAATTTGTAGACAGAAGTCTTCCATGTGTGCTGGTGGGCTTTCTCTCTTCACTTCACTTTTGTAATTCACACACTAAATGGAACATTTTTTCCATATGAGTGGCTACGATGACTGATCAGCTTCTCTGGTGGAATTCACTTTAAAAAAAAATATAATTTTTCAGGTCCTTTTTTTTTAAGGCCTTCTATGCTTTGGTGGTTTGACATGACAGGGGTGTAATCTCAAACTCTTGCTTACTTAAGCAAGCCAATTTAATGTCTTTTTACCATGAATGGCTGTTTTGAAACCATGCATCTACATGCTTGCTCAAATTCAGTTCAACATTAAAATATGATTTTAGAGATCTCTGACTTATGGGAACAGATCTCTCTGAGAAGTTACAGGATGAATCCAACATTAAATAGGTATGTTTTAGAGACTAAAAACTGATCTTCTTCAATGAAGAAAAGTGCTGACCAACAGCATGATCTGGTGCAGTGAACTACTACAGGAAAGTCTGATAGAGTAAGTTTAAATTTTAATGCAAACTTATGCCCCCGAATTTCCAACATCTGTTTTCAAGTCTTTCAGATAACAGGTCTTCTGCAACAGAAGATAGGTGAGTAGTATCAAAGCAGCTCTGATTTTTGCTCTGAAAAATTCTGATGCTTACTTTCAACAATGTCAGAAGCCTAGAAATAATGATAGATTCAAAATGCCATTTATTAGAACAAAATTCTTTAGATGTGGAGACGTTCTTTACCTGAGAAATCAGAGAAAGAAAATTTTAAAAGTATTTAACAGCCAAAAAGCAACATTATGGGTGTATTGTATTGTGAGTACATATGCTGTCAAGTTGCTCATTGATACTCTGTAGATTTTCTTTGCTGTCCTCAGCATTTCCCCGGAAAACAGATATTAAATTAGTAGTAAAATGAAAGAGAAATAGACAGAAAGCAAGGCAAAACATAGAGGAAACAGAATTAAATTTCAGAATAAGTTAAGGTTAAATTATTGTACCAAGTTGTGGCATTATGCTGGGTGAAGGGGCAGGGGTTAAAGGAAGCTATATTTTCTTTTTCAGCAAGCATGCACTGTACCTGTACAATTCAGGTAACTGGGCTGCAAGCAGACAGTACAGTCGTCCTAGAAAAGTGAATAACAATGCAAATCAAAACAAAAACCAAGAACTGGATACTCTTCATTCCTCTTAGTCCCCTTTCTCCACCTAAAACATTACTATTTTAGCTGAAGACATCAAATACAATCAGGATTGTTTAGTAGGTAATGTTTCCAATGATGCCTTTTATAATAAAGAACTACCTGACTGGGTTAGGGAAAAAAAATAGCTAAACCTATTTGTACATACCACTTAATACTAGGCAAACTTATACCCTAACTTACATCCAATATATTTATACCATTAATCCAGTGAATGCTTACAGCAACCTATTATATTCTCACATTTCAAAAAAGTAACAGTAAGACGTGGTACTTTTAAAGTACCTGGAAAAAAAACTTGCCAACCACCTTTATGCACCTATACAAATCAGTACTCCATCGTGAATAATCTTGATATTAAAAAATACCTGTTTTTAAGAAGAGATTTGCTGACAGAATTTTATGAATATCTTGTTACAGCTCAGAGTTGCCATGAGAAGTAACTGCAATTTACTGAACTTCCAGGTACTGAAATGCTGTCTTCTTAGCAATTATAGAGAATTATGGAAAAAAAATAGATTGAAAGGCACATCTGAAGGTCATTAGGCCTAACTTTCTATTTCAAGCAAGGCTAATCTCAAAACTGTATTAGGCTGCTCAAGGTCTCATACAGTCAAATTTTGAAAATCTCCCAGGATGGAGCATCCACAACCTCTCTGGACTCTATCTCAAAGTTGCATCATTCTCTTGGTGAAGAATTGTCCCTGTTATGCCCAGGTCAGATTTTCCTTGTTGCATGTTGTGCTCATCACTTCCATGTTCATTTTTCTTTGCACCTCCAAGAAAAGTGTAGTTCTTCTCTATAATCTCTCCACAGGTGGCAGAAGGCTGCTATTAGACCTCCCTCTTCCCCAGTCCTCCTCCTCAGTAGGCTGAACAAGTCCAGTTCCCCTGGTTTCTCCTTGTGTGTCAAATGCTCCGACTCCTTTTCACCTCATTGCTGCTGCACTGGACTCTTCCCAGTTTGCCGACACTTTTCTTGTAGCAAGGTCCCCAGACATCATACTCCATTTTTGTTAAACTCAAAATTTGACTGGTTTCAACCATGTAGTACTGACAAAAGGGAAGCTGGCTTTGAAAAACATTTAGCTAAGGAACAAGAGAAGATTTCTAGAAGAAAATGGTGACAGAGAAAGAAGAGACAAAGCACAGAATCCATGAGTAAACCGGATCTCTCAAAGAGTGGCTGTATGTCTTTCTTTGAGCAACTGAATTCCACAGAAGTGGAGATAAGAGGCAGAATCCCTTTAAGAAAGGGGATATAATTGTCACAAGAATCTGGAAGGTCTGGGGTATTCCTACTGCCAAAACAGAAAACAGTAAAATTCCAGTGGAAGACACCACTTGAGAAGAGAAGAAAAGAACAGTTAGTTGGAAGGAACCTGCAAAGATCAGAGTTCAACTGCCTGACCTCTTCAGGGCTACCCAAAAGTTAAAGCATAGTAATGAGGACATTGTCCAAATGCCTCTTGAGCACTGCGTATTTTGAACACACTGGCATTGCCAATTAAATGCCAACTCAAAGCTATAAAGCCCCTCCCCAACAACAGGCAAAATTCTCCCTTACAGGCTGCAATACTCACTATCCATCAGCAAGATTTTGCTCCAAAATTAGCTACTCTAACCGGAACTTGTTCCTTGAGATCCCTGCTGAACATTTACATTCACCAGCTTTGATGGCTTCTGGCTGCCCTGAAAAATCTGCTGAACAAATGTGATGTCCAGATAGTGGCTTTAGAAGTGCTTGCTCTGCTGTCCAAAGAGTTATTTCCTGGAACAGTGCTAGTTCTTGTGTGGAATCACACAAGGAAGTCTGTCCAGTTCGCCGTTGCTAACAGAAGCCTTTCTGGGAGCTGGATCAGGTCCTTCTCCTCCAGAATTTTCTCAATAGCTTCTACATTGATTTGTCACCAAATGAGACCCAGGAAATCTCATCTCCTGTATCAGTTCTGGCAGTGGCTTGTAAACGCTGACACTAGTCTGGCTTGTCTTCGGAAGGCTTTAACAGGAAGCTTTCCAGAGAAGCCTCTAGAGGAAAACCACTGGGATCCATAGGAACATGTTTATTGTAATGATTGCAAAATCTGTTTGCTTCCTGTTACCAAAGACCAGCATTTCCTGCCAATAGTTAGAGTCGGTCACATCCAGTCTCGCTGAATATGAAGCGGTGGTTATCCTACGCTTTCAAAAGAGAACTTGATGCAGGTGTGAAGCTGGGAGAGTACCTGGAAGAAAGGATGCTGAACGTGCATCCTGTGAACTGCAAAATGATCAAATGTGATGTGAAGTTGAGTTACACCACAGTGGCTCCACGAATAACTTGTCAGCTGGGGTTGTTTACTGAGGAAGCTGAAGTGGGTGAACTTGGGCACGTTCCCACCTGCATGCCACACAACAAGCAGATGATAGGGAGGATCTTATAATTCAACTCCAGGTTTGCTGAAAGAAAAAAAAACTTCTGGTGATCCCTGGCAGAGCATCATTAACTCAGTACCTACCTTGCTTTAGCATTAAAAAGCTTCTCTAAACTTCTTCCCTAAATCAACCCTGCTCCACTTCAAGCCTTCAACCACTGTTTCAGAGTATTTCCTGACCAGGACAGTGCTTGGTACATATAAGCTTTGGAATGAAATCCAGACTGCACAGAAAAACTGCCAGTGGTATCACCACTGCAGATGGGACAGCCCCAGTAACGCTCACTGCTCACGGGTGGCAACAGCAGAGACGGTGCCATTAGCAGAGCTGGTAAAACACAGGCATTTACAGTGATGGCAACAAAAGCAAGTTTTGTCGCTACAAACAGAGGACCTAATCGCTACATACAGCTATACAGCTTTATCTATATAGCTATAGAGCTAACAGCTGCAACAGGTTGGCAGGCACCTCACATTTAGTGGTATGGTGTTGGCACATGCACAAACAGCAATGATCTTTTAAAAGACCATGAAGAAGATTTGCTAGGGAATATTTAACATTATAAATAGCACCATAATCTGGGGATTAAAAGTGATTTCCTGTAATCAACCTCGATTAAACAAATGTTTGAGTTCTTAGAGAGATACAAGAGCAGTCACAGTTAATGTGGATATTTAAACTGACAGAACTTAACGTCAGACACTTGATAGGATTTATTTTCAAGCCATTCTTGGAAATATATACATACATATGTATATTATTAATAGTTTAATATAAAGGCTGGGAAATACTTGATTTAGTCCAGTTAATGGACCATGCACACTTGATCCAAGTTTGGTAAGATACTGAGACTGCCAAGGGAGAGATCACAGCATAGCCAAATCTGCTTACCTTCTTTTGGGCACAGGCTTGCTGCCTAGAGTGGACAACATATGGCTTATTACAAGTAAAAAATGGCCCAGGACTTGCAGAAAGCATAGCAAAGTCACCTTTTATGTGCCTTCTGGCAAGCAACAAGCAACTGGGACACCAAGGCCATCTTCATGAACAGGTAACTCAGTGACCAAATGCTCTAAGCAGCCAGCAGGGGTCACCTGGCCCATGAGCAACATACACTATGTACTGTTAAAGGACAATGAATCCAAAAAAGCTTCAACTGCCTCCAAGTGCCCATAGACTGAAGTCTAATAAACTGCAGCCCTTGCTGCTACAAGTCTGGGACAGACTTAGGGATGAGTGCTGCTTTCATTTCTATTCAGAAGCACTTTTTTGGGAAAAAAAAAAAGATATTGCCTCCTACTTTGACCATACCAATTGCTCCTCATCGTGTTGTTGTGTAGCTAATTTATCTCCAAATGCAAAACCACATCTTCTCTCTCAGTTGCATCCTGTTTGCTATAACACAGAATCACCAGAATGGTTTGAATTGCAAAGGACCTTAACGATCACCTAGTTCCAATGCCCCTGCCACGGAGAGGGACACCTGCCCATCACTTCTCTGGCTTGCCTTGGTCCTTCTGAATTCCAATATTCTGCCTCATGCTTATAGCTGCTCCCAACGTCACTCTCATTTGAAAACTTAACAAATGAATTCTGCACCTCACGATCCAAGATAATAAGGACTGCTCCATGAGTTCAATTTCCTACCTAGTTTTACACATTCTCGTCATAATATTAAACAATTAACTTCCATAGCTCGCCTATGGGATTGTCAGAGAACATAGTAGTATTAACAAATCAGCAATCATTAATTGAAAGTACTAAGCTAAGTACTGGCTAATAGAACTGTATGCATGAGTGGAACTATAATTTAAGTTTATTAAAAAGGAAACTTTGCATCCACTTTGAAGTCCTATACAGGATCATTCTTCACAGCAGATGATACAGATGTGCTGGTGCACTTGCCCCTATTACCACAGTCACAACCAACAGGGTGTTTTTACAAAACCAGAAACTTCTACAGGATAGATCTCATTCTCCATGTACAAATCAGAGAGTTGTTTTCCTAGAAGGATCTGTTCAAACCATTCTTCATTTTTTCTGACCGGATGAGACATTACATGAAATATTTCACTTTTATCCACACAATTGGCACTGCTAGCAAAGACTCCAAAATAGTTCTTCTGTGGGGAGACAGTTGCATCCAATTATGGATTTACTGAAACTCTTCAGATGCCACAACACAGAAAGACAGATGTAGACCAACAAAAGCAAACCTTCAAGTCACGCTGGTTTATAACAAAATTATATGGACTAAATAAGAGCTCTCGTCAGCCAAATACTCAGTTTGGTTTTCCAAAATTTGGTTTTCCAATTTAAAAATTTTACAAGTCACCACTATCCTCAAAGATTTTAAAATAAATCTGAAAGTGCTCATTGTCATTTGAGAGTAAGACAAAGCCAGAAAGACACAGAAACTCTACATTGCTTAGTGTCACAAAAGCAGTTCTCCTAATCACCAGTCCTCCTTCAGAAATTAGCCAGCCCCATCCTCTGATGGGAGAAATTATGACCACACTCAGATCATGCACAAATAAATACAGATTTAAACTATTTGAAATACAAATGCCTTAACTCATTCAATTTTCTATTCACCACTACGAATGGCTCTATTTAATCATGCTAATAATTCCACAAGACAGAGTTTAATCTTCAACACCCTCTTGTTCATCTTGACCCTCTAGAGACATTGCTTTCTGCAGCAACAGTGGTCCAAATCTCAAAATATGTATAAAGCCACTAGATACACACTTCTGTTTATTCCTCAGCATTTGCAAATGTGCACAGAGGCATGCAGAGTCACAGACCTAGTAACGAAATGTTTTAACCATTTAAGATAGAATACATGTTTTAGAAAGAATTTGAACCATTGTATGGGAGAGGAAGGCTCTGCTAACCACTTTCCAGTTAAAAGCCTGTCAACGTGTCTACATTCAACTTACTCTTATTCTAAAAAATGATTTGCACCCTTACCATCGTGGTTAGAATTTCCCAGGGTCCATGGCTCATCTGAATCGAAGTGAGTATCTCCTCCTATGCCTGGTCCAGGAAAGTATGCATGAGCTAGGAATCCACCTTCTCCATCAAATGGAGAACTGTCTCCATGGAAACCAGAAGCAAAAAAAATCATAATATCTGCCTCCTTCCTGTCATTTTTAATTTCATGGTAAGGGACCTCTTCAAAGGTAAGTGGTGTCACTCTCTGCCAAACATCAAATGCCTGACGAATGGCTCTCCTTGTATCAAGCTCTCCGACCTTGGGGGTATAGTTGTGTACACTGTGTGAATGAGAGAGAAGGGTTGTTTAAAGGTGCAAATTCCATACAAGACTTCTTATTATAATTCCAATACACAGCCACCTCTACAAAGTTTCCATTTCTGAAATGTATTTATTGTTTTGCAGACTCTACTTTGTGCATGCAAAGTTTTGCTGTTACAAATAAAGCCACCACCACCAACAGCCTTGATGCAGAGAGTACATTAATCAGTAAAAATAATCCCAATACTTTGGTTTATCTCATATCGCTTTCTGAAAGCCTGGCAACCTTCCAAATCCTCACATATACAGTTAGTTTAAAGAATGTAAATTATTCCAGATTTTGTGTGATAATATCACACTAAAATTCCAGTGTATGAAAACACCTGGCTACTAAAATTATTTTTGAGAAATAAACTTTTCAGTAAATTATACAACTTTACTTAGATGAGCAGCTTCATTCTCAGAAGTCCTTGAATATTTAAGATTGATAGGCCAATATTATGCATGTCAATCCATGATGGATATCATGAAAAATAGCTTAACTACACATACATTTCCCATAATGGTAAACTTTAGGTTAAAAAAAAATACTGATTTTTATATTTTTTGGTGGATATATAACAGACTCAAGACCTACTAAACTTGGCTCGAGGAATATGAAACATCTATGTCATAGAAACAGCTTTCAGCCTTTAATGAAACTCAGCTCAATTTAATCTAATGATGAGAGATGAAATATCCTGTATTATATTTAGTAGTAAAATGATATATCCATCACGGGTAAGTCACTCTACAAATACTGAAGCTGGAAAGTTAAATACCTAACAGTTTGACAATGGCAAGACTGCAGCCAATAAGCTGTGGTTTAAGTTATGTTTTACACAGATGATTATATACTAGTTTTCCCTAAGGTCCAGAAAAGATCAGAAGCAAGATCTGACTCTTACATTTTTACATATAGAGGGTAAGCCTTTGTAATCTCAGTTAAAGGAGTAATTATTGGTGGAAGCTTTGAACTAGTCCCCAGAACGAGGGGGACTCCTACCCGTCTCAGTACTACCTCACACTTGGGCATATTTCCCATGTTGGTCACTCAGATTTCTCTCCTTAACAGATTTCTTTCTTTCCATCTAAGCCTTATTCACCGGTATCTTCTCCTTACCATCTACATTCCTAAGTTTTACTCCTCTGCAAAGTCCCCTTCTCTCCAAATTTAGAAGGCTCTTCTTCAGAGACTCTCATCAAGAGGGTTTATTAATTCTATTTTCAATTAACATCCTTAGTGTCAAATTTTCATTGGCATCGTTGCTTTTCAAAACCTAAGGACCTAAATGATTCTAACACAAAGGCCTCTCTGGAAAACAATTGTAAGTATGCAACATGCATTTTACACTAGTAGGTCACTTCAGCATATTGCCTTGGCAGGTCTAAACCAGGATAAAAGCAAGTGTTTTACTACAGCACTAAAAGGAAAAACTCTGCAAAAATAAACAGTAAAATGTTGCAAATCAGTGGAGGAACAAAGCAACACTCCATTAGACAATGATGTTCCTTCTGCTTTAAGGGTACTATTTATTAAAGAGGACAAAAGATTTAAGGGTTAGAGTCCTGCTGTCTCCATCTGTAGTTCCAGTTGCAAGGGTTAGATTTCATTAGCATTTAGATTTCTCAGAGAACAGAAAGGGGCTTAGTAGGATTTTCCTGCCAAAGTTACACAACTGATGGTTGGGATTACTAACCAGTTATTTCCTAATGAAAAACACTCCTCAGTTGCTCCAGGGATCTGAAAATATACTGCTCCACCATATCCTCAAGTCTGAAAGCCTTAACTGGGCTTCATAAGGAAAACCCACTTTTTAAAGCTAACTAAAAAATGTGCATACTGAACAAATACAGAACATTCCCCTCCCCCCCCCCCCCCCCAAAAAAAAAAATAAAAGTGTTATGGAGTATACTGTACCTACCTGTAGGTTATATGTTTCTGCCTCCATTTTTGTCCAGTTAGTGCATAACGCTTTTTCCTCCGGCTACGGCCTAGGTGCGGATGATCTGGAACTCCACATCGAGGCTTCTTCATCCACCTAGGGAGGAAAAGAGCAAAAAAGAAAGCTAATGAGTTTAGAACAGAAATTAAAAAGAACTCAGTGATACGAAGACCTCCTAGGGATGAGAGATGACCAACATAGACACCAAGAAGGGCTCCACCTCTGTTGACATTCCACACACCTCTGCACACAAAAAAGGCTTCATTTTTTTCCACTTGGAAACACAGATACTGGGCCAGGCAGCCCTAATTCTTGACAAAAGCTTAATGATGATAATGCCAGATGAGACACAGACCCAAATGGCACATACACATACTCTGGGATCAAATCTTCTTATTACTTACTCTTGTTGAAGTGTTCCTATGCTGGTAAAAACAAAATAAAACAAAACCTTCCAAGCCAGAATTCACTAGGTAAGATTGAACGAAAGCAACACAACCCTCCAACCTAAATGGATATGACTTTCTATAACCACCAGAATAGGTAACTGCAATCTGTGAGTCACAGTCACCAAATTCTGTCAGATTCTCCCCATACCCCTTGAGTCTTTTGATCTCACTCATGATATAGGACAGTTTGGCTTCTATGGCCACGTAAACTCAGAGATCAAAGGATGCTGTCCCTTGCAGAGGGATCCATGCACCATTATTGCAGAAGTCAGGCCTCCTCCCCTACAGATTGTACTGGACTTGACAAGAATGCAGGTTTTGTATTATGAAGCTAGCGCTCATCTTCCCCACTTCCTTTACCTTACATTTATTGGTACAGTATGCCCACACATCTGCTGCCACCTTCAAAGAAAAGTGGTACATTTGAGATTGGCATTTACAAAAGCCATATTAACTCAATCTCAAAATACTGTTTTTAAAACATCCTTTACTTGTGCTCTTTTGTGTTGTTTCTACCTAGATATTTCTCAGTTTCCTAGGTATCTTCTGAGTATTTTTTTTAATTCCAGTCATATAATTGTACAGAGTTTTTAGCTTAACCTTACAAAAACCTAATTCACACTGCAGTTTGTATCTCTTGAGCTTCATGAGAACTCATGAATTATCTTCCATTTTATCTTTACAAGTATTGCCTAGAAAACAGAGACAAGCTGTAGTATCAGTACTCTGGGCTTTAAGGACTTCTTGAGCCAAAGCTTCCATGGCATCAGCATTTTCAGAGCTGTCCCTACTTTCCGTATGCACAGCTGCCTAACTCCTCTTTCAAACCCATTATACTTGTTCCAGACCTCAACTACAGAATGTCTGAAATAGGTCTAGTACAAAAAGCCTGATTACCTGGTATCTCAGTTTTGGCTGGGATAGAGTTAATTTTCTTTGCAGAGGCTTGTATAATGCTTTATTTTTATTTTTTTAAATGAAAATAGTGGTGATAACACATCAATGTTTTAGTTCATCTTCTTGTGCTGCCCTGCCAGCGAGGACATTGGGGGTGCACAAGAAGCAGGGGGACATAGCCAGGACAGCTGACCTAAACTAGCCAAAGTACATTCTGTGCCATATAACGTCACAGTCAGCAAGAAAAACTAAGGAGAAAAAGGGGGAAGAGAGGGGAACATTCTGAGTGATGGTGTTTATATTCCCAAGAAACCCTGCTTTCCCAGCAATGGCTGAATTCCTCATTTTGCTTACCTTGTGTGCAGCTTCTGCTTTAACTAGTAAACTGTCTTTATTTCAGCCCACCAGGTCTAACACTTTCACCCTTTTGACTCTCTTCCCCATCCCATGGGGATACAAGTGGCTCTGTGGGGCTTAGCTGCCTGCCACATTTACACCACAACACCCACTTACAGCTAGGCAACACCCAGGCCGCCAATAGCCTGTACTAATGTCAAGCTGAGGTTTATCTGGACTGGTTTCCTAGTTCAACTTCCTTTCAAGACATATGGGCCCTAGTCTAACCACAAGGACTAGAGTACAATTCCAGCTCTCTCTTCTCCTTTTCTCAGCAGGGCAGATTTATGTCAAAATAATCACAGAGCTGTAACTTGCAGCCACTGATCTTCTTACATGCAGCTTTTTGCCAGCTGCACTCTACTGAGCACTTTGGATAGCTCCTTACTTCTTCCGGGGGATTTATAAAAATGCATCACAAATAACAACAAAAGGCAATTACTTAAGGTAGGATTCAAATAGATAAATCACCACTGAAAAAAATATTTATTTTCACTAGGGGCGCCAATAGCATTGGACCCTCAAAAGTTTGTATGGCATTGTTTAACGCTATTGAACGATTGCATTCCTCCAGCTACTTGGCATGCAGAAAAATAGGTAATTTCCAACAGCAGTGACATCCAGTTCTTGACCTGACACAGCTGCTTCCCCCAGTCAGACTCCAAGTCCTCCACAAGACTCCTAAACAGAGGAAGCTATCACTCTCAGTTGCCTACCATTGAGCTGGTAGGAGTGGTATCTTTAAAATCTCTGAGTTAAGAAATGAAATTAGACAGCTGTGTCTTGGAACCTGAGGTGGGCAACAGGCTCAAGACTTTGCAAAGACACACAAGGGGTCTTGTTGCATTAAGGGGTGTAGCCGATTAACGTTATGGGTCTGGTCGGATTCAGGGTACTGAGCTATCACAGACACGGATTCTCCACCAACTTAACATGCCTTTAATCTTGTTTCATTCAATGAGAACTATTATGGCTAGGAATAATGTAATTAAGTACAATATATTACAGCAACAGGTACAAAAGTTCTTTGGATTGCTGTTGGTAATTTATCGTCTGCAAAAACAAGCTAGCATGCATGAAATACACAGGTACACAGCCTGGCTATGAAGGCGTTAAAAGGCACAAAGACTGTAGAGATTATTCAAGTGTTAAAATCTCACCCAAAGGCATCCCAATAGGGGAGGAGTGGGGGAAGGGAGGCTCAGCCTATACACTGCCCCAGAAGTCAGGATGCTATCTGGTATCTTCCTTCAGGATGGCATCTTCCCTAACGTCCCCTCTCTCTTAAGCCAATTGATTATTTGCTAGCCTTAAGGTAGAGCTTGACCGACTGTAGTCAAGCATATCTTAATAGTGATGGCTGAAAAGTTGTCTTGCTTTTGCTTAAAGGTATAGGATCTGAGAAATTCAGAGCGCATGCTCAGTGAGGGGTGGTCGCACCTGGGAGGCGGCAACAGCCTTAGAGGAACAGACTCCCTCCAGCTTCAGCACTTTAGGCCTATGCTTCTGTGCTATTAAGAAACCCATCGCAAGCTACAAAAAACATACAGCACATAACATCTAATGTCCAGCAAACATCAGCTAAGCAACAGCTGAGTGGTCTTGACTGTCCTCATTAGGCTGCTGCAACTCTCTTCAACTCCAAACTGCAGCTCTCCACAGGCAGCAGCTATGCAGATCCACAACTCCCATTAATTAAGAAATACTACATCAGAAATCATTTCTTAAGTCAGAGTTTTACCTACATCCAGACAGAGACAGCAATCAACAAAACCCTTGATGTTCACTGCCTTCAGAAACTCACAACACTCCTCTTTCACCTTTGCACCAGCAACAGGAATGACATTTAACAAGAGCTTCTCACGCTTTAAAACAATCTTGACTAGAAGAGCAAGATGGAGTTGTCCACGTGTGTTCATTAGGGACGCCTTTTCACAAACATCAAGACTTCTCTGACTGGGCTGAGACAGTGAAATCTATCCCTTTGGAGGACCTCTGGCTCCTGGAGCAACTACCCAGCTAATAGACAAGGCCTTGAGAATGGAAAGACAAAATTAGGCTAGGATCATCTTACTCCAGAGTTGTCTGGTCCAAAACTCCTGTTACTGGGATCCCATAGAATTGTTGCATAGTGGCCACTGCAGACTGCACAGCTTTTCCCGCCTGCAAGGCAGACATCTGGCTGTCAGACGGAAGCAAGTAGCCATAAGTTTTTAACCAACTCTGAAAAAGAAAGAAACAGATTGTAAGTTTCTGCCATATTCAGCTTTCAACTTCACATGTTACAAGGTTTCTTCAAAAGAAAGGTGACAAACTAGCCCATTCCATTTAACCACCTCTCTTGAGCAGTTAGGTTTGGTAACGCTGACTGAACTCCAGGAAGACCCAGCTTCATATCTACTGTCCGAACTGGATGATACAAGCCTGCTGGTTAAAAACGGCCAGCAGCCCCACTGAATAGAACAGGGGCAGACATAGCTCTTTGGTACAACACAAATGCCAAAGAACCTCCATTCTTTGCACAGGCTGAGCTCCTCTCTTGTTCCTCCCGTGCAAACCTATCCCCAGGCCATCACAAGCTTTCTCAGCCCCCACAGCAATACGCTCCAAAGAACCCACTGCCCACCTGCTGCTGCTTCTGGACCAGCGCTCCAAGCAGACAGCTTAACAGGCCTGGACAATTCCCCACAAACAAAAGTTCAGCTTTATGTTTGCACCAGACACAGAAGGGATTTCTTACAAAAACAAGCTCAACAATTACATAGACCCTTACTAGGTGGACTCTTCCTTGAATACCAGATATCTAGCAAGTTTTCAGATCACAAAAACAGACAGCTCTCCTCACAGAGCTTTATTTCCCCCCACCCTCCCCAAAACACAACTTTAGAGAAAACCATGTCAAACTTACAGGCCAAGGCCTGCATTTCCCAAAACAGCCAAGTAATTCAAGACTTTCTTTTGAGTCATTTTAATATTTCACCTGCCCCGGAGCCTTTTTTTTTTCTTTTTCCCTGGCCAATACCCCACAGGAATTAACATAATACAGCTAACAAGCTCCCCAAGCACTGTCAAGATACCTGGGGTACTTATCATCAACAAGAAATACATCCAACTGCTTTGGTGTTCTCCTACAGGCACAATGCGCTCCATATGCCACAGACAGATTTCTACAATCTTTAGAAAACACATTTGACCGATTCAATGCTTACTACTTAGCCCATGATTACTGCAAGCCTGCTCGCTCAGACCAGGCTCGCACGCTGTCCCTTAGCCTAATGCAGCCATGGGAAAAAGGGGCTAAAGCAAGGAGAAGCACAAGAGAGAGGACAATTCCTATTTCTTTGAAGCAACATGAAGATAGCAAACTCCACAGGGGAGAGAGAAAGGCTTTGCTTCAAAAGCTTGAAGAGTAACAGCACAGGGCTAGCCACGCCAAACCTCACCGAGTCAATGGACGTGCAGCAATAGGCAACACAGGCAGCACCAACAGCCCCAAGCTGCCAAACTGCTGGGAGAACAGACTATGTCCGTCTTGACAACTAAAGCTCTAGAGCCGGCCTCTAACCCACACACACAGACCAGCAGCCTGACCAAAACAAGCTGCCCTTGGGCTGCAAGGGTGGAGCACGGCACCAAAGCAGCCCCGAGCAGTGCTACGCATCCCTCTCCTTCCCAGCCAGGCTCCAACACGGGACACGGGCGGGACGCAAAGGGCCACAACACCACTCCTGCGCGGACACCACCAAGGTCCTCCCGGGAGCCCAGAGCACCAACAAGAGGCACAGCTGCCTTCGCGGGCCGGCTCTCCCCAAACACCCAGCTCGGCTGCAGGCACAGAAGCTGCCAGGGACAGACACCGCGCCCCTGAGCCCCTGACCCCTGAGCGCAGCAACCCAGAGCGGCCACTTCGGAGAGCAGCCGGACAAGGGCCTAGAGAAGGAAGATACCGGGATGCTCCGGCCGGGCCAGCAGCGACGTGGCCGAAGCCGGGCGCAGCGGGGCCGGGCAGCCGCCGCCCCGCTCCCCAGCCCACCCCCGGGCCGCTCCGCTCCGCTCCGCTCCGCTCCCCTCCCAGCCGCGGCACGACCGGCCCCAGAGCCGCCCCGCTCCCCTCAGCACCCCACCCCGGCCCGGCCAGGCCCCGGCCCCCGCGCCCTGACACCCACTCGGCCCGTGCTGCTGTCGGCGGCGGCGCGGAGCAGGGCGCAGAGCAGCAGGGAGCCCGCCGCAGCCAGGCCCCGGCACCGCCTCGGCGCCATGGCAGCGCGGCGGGCCTCCGGCCAGCGCTCCGGGCCGGCGGCTCGGGCTGCGGCTGCGCGGGGAGGCCGCAACTGAAAGGCGGCGGCCGGGGCTACGCCTCTTCCTCCGCGGAGCCGGGGCAGGCGGCGGGGCTGCCGCGGGGCCCGCTCCGGGGCCCGGGGCCGGGGCCGGGGCCGGCAGGCAGGGGAGGGTGCAGAGGAGGCGGCGGCCGCCGGGTGTTCGTCTGCAGCACCGAAGCTGCTGCAGGAGGAGTCAGGTCTTCCTCTGCCGCCTCGTCAGCGAGAAGGAGCTCGGAGGTGCTCCGAGGGACAGCTCTCCTTCCAACTGCTTGGGACAGGCTGCTGGCTGACATGCCTTGCCAAGCTCTAATTCAGCTTTCATGCGGTTGCAGACTGAGAGCTCTGCCTGTTAGAGGGATCGACATTGGGAAGTGCCAAGATTTCAGAATATTCGCAGCTGAAGTCTTGCTCAAACCAGGAAGCCACGAACGATTCCAAAGTGTCACAGACAATTCCAAGAGCTCCTTTGGTGACGTTGTCAAGGGAAGCCTGTGAGAATGCTCACAGCTGGGTCTGGGATTTCCCTGTGGGGGCAGAAGAACCTGCCATGGGGGCACCTTGCTCAGAGCCGAAGAGGGAATGCTCCCTCTAGGGAGCATTCTCACAGGTTTCTTTTCCTCGGTTTCTTTTCTATTGGCTTCCCCACTTGGGACGCTCTCCTGGCCAAGGGTTGCTCCTTCTGGCTGCCTTCTGGCCTTGGCTCACATGCACTGGGCGTGCCAGGTTCGCACGACTTCTCAAAGACGTTCATCACACTCGCCACAACCTTCTTAGCCAGCAGTGCAATTTGCTGCTCTTTGTCAAGAGGAGATGCCTCTGAAGGCTCTGCGCTTTCGGCACTTGCACATGGTCTTTCTTGGATCCCATGGGGAGACCTTGTCAAGGGAAGCCTGTGAGAATGCTCCCTCAAGGGCTTCCCTCGGTTTCATTTCTTCCAGCTTCCCCACTTGCCACACCACAACCCGAGCCACCTCTTCAATCTTCTAGCTTTCTCTAGCCACCTGATCTTCTGAGGCAGCTTTGAATACACCGTCTGCGGGGATGGGTGACTTCCTCTCGGACTCGCTCACAGGATGGATGCTGCCAGGGAGCTTGGCATTTTCCCTGCCCAACTCAACGCTGGAGGGAGTCACTTTCAGCCTTCTGTACTGGCCAGAGTGGAGAAAGTTTCTTCTGCTTTTGTGGGAAGGTGGGCCAGCTGGTTTTTGAGGCTGCGGTAGGCTGGCTTTCTCTTTCGTGACCAAGTACACGTTATTGGAGGAGCTCTGGCGAGAACGGTCACTCCCCGCCATCAGTCTTGCGTCAAGTTTCTTTAACTTGGCGAGCTGTTGCTGAAGCTTTTCCTGAAAGGGAACAGCAGGTTTTAGCTCACTCTTGCCTCAGAAATGCCTCGCGTCCCTGCGTGCTGAGGTTTCGTGCCGCCCAATGAGTACTGCCAGTACTCATTGAACTCCTTGAGAGAGCAGACCACCTATGGAGAGACAAGGGCAGAAAGCTCCCGAGAACTGTCGAGGTAGCTGCCAGTGGCAGGGAAGCAGCTCCTCTCCATCCTCTCCCCTCCCCAGCGCTGGGGACGCTGCCTCCCTCCGAGCCAGGGCCGAGCGGACTCCTCGCTCTGCACCAGGCCCCACAGCGGCTGCCTCCTCAATGCACAGGCAGCGCGAGGCAGCCTGAGAAGAGCAGGAGTGGGCACTGCCAGCAGGGCGCTGGGGTGACGTCTGCTCCCATGGAAGGCAGCGCAGCAGCCCTGTGCTCCCCACCAGCAACAAGCGGCTGCAGCAAGCGCGCTGGCAATTATCGAATCAGCAGGGTTGGAAAAGACCTTCAAGATCATCTGCTCCAACCATCACCCTACTACCAATGTCACTAAGCACCATGTCGCTAAGCACCAGCTCCAAGCTTTCCTTACACACCCCCAGGGACGGTGACTCCACCACTCCCCTGGGCAACCCCTTCCAAGGCCCCACTACTCTTTCTCAGAAGAAATGGCTCCTAGTTTTCAAGCTAAACGTCCCCGGCACAACTTGAGCCCATTCCCTCTAGTTATCTGCAAGAAGAGGCTGACCCCCAGCTCCCCACAATTTCCTTGCTGGGAGTTGGAGAGAGCACGAAGGTCTCCCCTGAGCCTCCTCTTCTCCTGACTAAACAACCCCAGCTCCCTCAGCCGCTCCCCAGAGGACTTTTCTTCCAGGCCCTTCACCAGCCCTTCGTAGCCCTTCTCCGGACAAGTTCCAGGGCCTCGATGTCCTTCTTGGACTGAGGGGCCCAAAACTGAACACAGCACTCGAGGTGCGGCCTCTCCAGAGCACAGTGCAGGGGGAGACCATCACCTCCCTGCTCCTGCTGCCTACACTTTTACTAATACAGGCCGGGATGCCATGGGCCTTCTTGGCCACCTGAGCACACTGCCGGCTCACGTTCAGCCAAGCATCAATCAACACTCCCAGGTCCCTTTCCTCTTCACAGTCGTCTAGCCACTCTGCCCCAAGCCTATGGCACTGCAGGGGGTTATTGTGGCCAAAGTGCAAGACCTGGCCCTTGGCCTTGTTAAGCCTCATCCCATAGCCCCCACTCCCATGTTCCTCTGAGCCACTTGGGGGGAGGGTGGATGTAGAAGTGGGTGGAAGGGAGAAGGTGCTTTTAGTTTGCTTTTAGTATCTCACTGCTCTAGCCCCTTTCAATAGGTAATGAATTATATTACTCTCCCTAGGCTGAGCGTGTTTTGCCCGTGATGCTAATTGGTGAGTGGCCTCCCTGTCCTTATCGCAACCCTGCAGCCCGTTTTATCCTATTTTCTCCCCCTTTCTGCTTGAGGAGGGCGAGCGAGAGAGTGCTCGTGGCGGACTTCAGCTGCCCAGCTGGGTGACACCACCACACGGTGTAGGGAAAATCCCCAAGCACAGCACGGCCTGGCTTGAAGAAATGGAGGCACAAGCAAGCACTTGGATGTAAGCTCTTTATTTTCTGCTTCCGCCTCAGGCTACTGAGGCTTCAATGGGATCGGTCTGACACGCACGCGTATCCTCCGTGCTCCGCTCTGGGCAGGCTGCTTCGGAACAGATGGAGGAGCCGGCTGCCTGAGAAACTGTGGGCCCGTGGGAGGGATGGTGCCTGTGGTGCTCTTGGACCTCAGCTGGGTCTGGGATTCCCCTGTGGGGGCAGAAGAGCCTGCCATGGGAGCACCTTGCTCAGAGCCTCTTCGGAGGTGCTCCGAGGGACGGCTCTCCTTCCCATTGCTTGGCACAGACTGTTTGCTGACACGCCTTCCCAAGTTCTTCTCCAGCTTCCGTGCAGTCACAGACTGAGAGCTCTGCTCCGATAAGCAGCGCGTCATCCCGCTTGCCACAGTTTTGCTGCTTGAAACGGCGTCTAAGGCCTTTGCTTTCATTTCCCTCTCCATCTTGTCCTTCACTTCTTCAATCACATTAAGGACAATGGTTCTGGCATAGGCCTGCAGTTCTGTGTGCAGACGCTGAACTTCGGAGGCAGCCTTTTGGATGCTCTCCCTCACACTCCTGCAACTCAGGCGTGAGACCTCATCAGTGTCTGGCACTGGTGGGATCATGGGCAACGTTTCTCCCGGCCTTGCTTCTGGGCTCTGCTCTTCTGATGCTGTTTGTAGTCCCTGCCCTTCCCTCATGCCCTCCCGTGAGAGAGGCCCCTGGGATGGCTGTGGCTGCCTGTTGGAGGCATCAACAGTGGGAAGCGCCACGATTTCAGAATACTTGCAGTTGAAGTCTTGCTCAACCCGGGAAGCCACGAAGGATTCCAAAGTGTCGCAGACACTTCCAACAGCTTCTTTGGTGACCTTGTCAAGGGAAGCCTGTGAGAATGCTCCCTCAAGGGCTTCCCTTGGTTTCTTTTCTTCTGGCTTCCCCACGTGGGACGCTCTCCTGGCCAAGGGCTGCTCCTTCTGGCCGGCTTCTGGCCTTGGCTCAGATGCACTGGGCATGCCGGATTCCCAGAACTTCTCAACGGCCTTCATCACGCTCGCCACAACCTTCTTAGACAGCAGTGCAATTTGCTGCTCTTTGTCAAGAGGAGATGCCTCTGAAGGCATCTCGCTTTCGGCACTTGCACATGGTCTTTCTTGGATCCCATGGGGAGACCTCTTCAAGACGCAGACAGACTGGTCCAGTGCCTGCACCCTCTCAAACACTTGCCGCACCACTGCCCGAGCCACCTCTTCAATCCTCTGGCTTTCTCTAGCAGCCTGTTCTTCCGAGGCAGCTTTGAATACACCGTCTGCGGGGACGGGTGACTCTCTCTCGGACTCAGTAACAGCACGGATGCTCTCAGGGAGCTTGGCATCTTCCCTGCCCAACTCAACGCTGGAGGGAGTCACTTTCAGCCTTCTGTACTGGCCAGATTGGGGAAAGTTTCTTCTGCTTTTGTGGGAAGGTGGGCCAGTTGGTTTTTGAGGCTGCAGTAGGCTGGCTTTCCCTTTCGAGACCAAGTACACATTACTGGAGGAGCTCTGGCGAGAACGGTCGCTCCCCGCCATCAGTCTTGCGTCAAGTTTCTTTAACTTGGCGAGCTGTTGCTGAAGCTTTTCCTGAAATGGAACAGCAGGTTCTAGATCACTCTTGCCTCAGAAATGACTCGTGTCCCTGCGTGCTGAGGTTTCATGCCACCCATGCCAGTGCCCTGCTTCTGCCACGCAACGAGGGCTGAAGAGAAGGGCTTCCCTCAGGGCTCTGTATGCTTGCAAGTAGCTTTCCTGATCCACCCCCCCTACACACACACACACACACACCTCACCCCCCCTCCAGTAGCTTGCGCTAGCTGAGCTTGGGGCTGGGTCATCCTTTCCCTACCACAACACCTGGCCCTCCAGCACATTTTCTGTATTCCCCACCTCCCTCAGATCCAACAAGGAAAGCCCCAGCCTTCTGTACCGTGCCACTGACATGTGTCTGCTGAGCTTTGCCTACCTCTTCTTGCCTCTTGATTTTCTCCGCTTCCAGCTTGAGCGTGGTCAAATACTGCCTGTACTCATTGAACTCCTTGAGAGAGCAGACCACCTATGGAGAGACAAGGGCAGAAAGCTCCCGAGAACTGTCGAGGTAGCTGCCAGTGGCAGGGGAGCAGCTCCTCTCCATCCTCTCCCCTCCCCAGCGCTGGGGACGCTGCCTCCCTCCGAGCCAGGGCCGAGCGGACTCCTCGCTCTGCACCAGGCCCCACAGCGGCTGCCTCCTCCATGCACAGGCAGCGCGAGGCAGCCTGAGAAGAGCAGGAGTGGGCACTGCCAGCAGGGCACTGGGGTGACGTCTGCTCCCATGGAAGGCAGCGCAGCAGCCCTGTGCCCCCCACCAGCAACAAGCGGCTGCAGCAAGCGCGCTGGCAATCATCGAATCAGTAGGGTTGGAAAAGACCTTCAAGATCATCTGCTCCAACCATCACCCTACTACCAATGTCGCTAAGCACCATGTCTCCAAGCTTTCCTTAAACACCCCCAGGGACGGTGACTCCGCCACTCCCCTGGGCAACCCCTTCCAAGGCCCCACCCACTACTCTTTCTCAGAAGAAATGGCTCCTAGTTTTCAAGCTAAACGTCCCCGGCA